GATAATGATCCTTAATTTATTTTCTGGTATATATGTTTTCATGGATGATGATTTTGTTCCTTTTCCCCCTCTTGTTTTTCCAAATTAAGTCGGTAACCTCTGAAATACTACTATTTAATATTCATGGGATCCCTTACCCATCACGATATATTCTATTTGATTTAATATTTGGCAAGTCTACTGTTTAAATCATTCTAAAAATGAAGTTAGAACCGAACAAACCGAACCGAACCGAACTGAACCGACTTGCAACAGTGCGGTTCGTTTTTGAATTATATGTGGTTCGGTTCGGTTGTTCAAAATTTGGTAAAAACCGACCCGAACCGAACCGTGCTCAGCCCTACACGTAGTAAGAGAAACTTTTGGGGGGTGGGTCGGGGGGTGTGCAAGAGGAAAATGTGCATGCTTCGAAAAGTTGACAAAATTATGCAGTTTTTTGCACTTATTGTTTTTCAACTAAACACTTAATTTGCATTTAGAAATATAATTTCTACAATATAATTGCAAATATCCGAAAAAACAAAATATAATTTAATTTTCTGCAACAAATATTAACATTTGTTGCTGCAATTTTTTTTTGGCGCGAACCAAATCATCCGTAGAATTCATGGAATAAATCAACAAACAAACAGGTACTTTCAGGATAAATTGACAAATAAGATATATATATATATATATAAGTTGATTTAAAAAAGAATTCACTTGAGTATTATGTTTCTAAGAATAGTTTTTAAAATGCATATATTTCAAGATAAATGGGTGTGAACTTTAGGTGCATATGCAAAAAAACTTTTTGGAGGTGGGTGTAAAAAATAAATGGGGGTAAACTTTAGGTTTTTATGCTAAAAATCCATTTATGATGTTGCAAAAATAGTGTGAGAAAAGCAAAGATAATAGTACATTATGTAGAATCTAGCAAGTTCTATTTTTAACATTTTAATATTTCATTTTTGCATATTGAACTTGATGGAGACCAGATAGGAATATAAATATACTATTGACGATAAAAACGTGTGGTGTTTGGATCTCTTAGATTAGTTACACTCAACGATTTTTAAAAAGCTTAAAGTTATTTAGATCTCTAATGAACATTGAATTAGGGATGTGTTGATGTCAGTTATCTAACAAGAAGTTTATTTAAAGATTTGTGTTGGGTTGGGGTCCTCAAGCTGAAGGAAACCGTGCTATGTCTATATGCATAATACACAGCGGAAGACATGTATGGAAAAAAATTACTAAGCATGTAGAGATCATGAAATATTCATATGGACCGTCTAATTAAATCTAACATGATTCTTATTGTTAAGAGAGCATACAAGGTTTGAAAGTTATACTTTTGTAGCGTGATTCAATAGTGAATCAAACAACCTTTAGCTTGCTCTCTTTGATGCAGAAAACTCCTCGTAGTGGATCTCCAACTCTTTAAGTAAACCCGAAAGCTATTGGATGCTGTTTGAGACGCGAGGCAAGATATCCACCCCGGGGTTCTTAAAATCCTACTACTTTCTCTTACTCAAAGATTGCTAGAGTTTAGTAAGAGGTATAACTCTCTTGTTTTCTCTTATGGAAATTTAATTTTTATTAGCCTTTCATGAAGAGAGAGCTCATATTTATAGAGTGAAATATGTTCATGACATGAATGACTCATCCTATGAGTCATGCAATGAATCATCAAAAATTAATGACTAATCAAGTGAATCATGCAATGAATCATCTTATGAATCATTACATTTCAAAACCATGTGCTAATAAACCATGTGCTCAAACCATACCACTAAGTGACTCATCTCATGACTCATTATATACGGTATGTGTATTTCATAAATGAGAATACCAAATTATTATTACTAATACAGTATTTCATAAATACGGTATATAGTATTATTCCAATCTTTAACTAATTAGTCACTATATGACCAAATAAATCAAGAGTTGACCAAAAGTTAACTGTTGACCAAAAAGTCAACTAGTTGACTGAAAGTTAACTTTATGGGAAAAATATAAGAATTTATTTCCTAAGCACATAGCATTCCGCTTTTACCGATATACATAACCGTTTATGTGTATCCGGTAAAAAAATCATATATACATATCAATCATACACATCACTCTATAAATTGTGTTTCATAGGATTCAAGTACACGCTTGGTGTGACTCTAGGGCCCAACTCAAAAACTCGGTAGTGGATCATATCCACAAGTACAACAGATGTGCTAGCTGCACATGAAGACTATCCGGGTATGAGTTGTGATAAAGGTCTGCAAGATGCTTATCCAATTTTATCAGGACCACTCAGTGATAATGCCGTACAGTCCGGTCTTGAGCCTAGGGTATGGAAAACTGTCAAACCCTAATTGCTCAATTAGTGTTTGTTGATATTAAACTCATAACCTATAAGATCAAACTGACACTTAGTTTATCTTATTTACCTTTGTTGATATTAAACTCATAACCTATAAGATCAAACTGACACTTAGTTTATCTTATTTACCTCGGCCAATGATTTCTAGGTTATAGTTATATCAAACAATCTTATGATATTAACCCCCTATGCTGGGAGAGACGAATCCCATATTGGCATCTCAATATCTACTTATGCCTCGGGATGTACCCAACAAGAACCGTTATGCATAACTCGATGAGAACTATGGTTAGGTAAAAGTCTAAGTACACATATACTGACATGTAAGATATTGCACTCATGCCTCAGGTCAAGAGACTACTATGTACTATATCACTTGAGAACTTCTATTTGATAGTTAAGTATAATTACCAACTAGATGTTCTCAGTGAGTCGTTCAGTTAACTCATTCATTAACGAGTCACCTGTATACTATATCTTGATGTCTCACATCAATGATCCAAGAGATGGATCATCATCCTACCAAAGGAGAAATAGAGTATACACTAGTCTTCCCAAAGTGATAATGTCTCATTTTAACACTTCATTGACTAGGAACATTTTAGAATGTACGTTAACTACAAATCAGACCTTTTTATTACGATCATATCTGAAATATCTGATAGTCTGGTATCATTCTAAGGACTTTATCTGTATGAAAATACCAGATAAGTCTGACCAAAATAGCATACTATTATTTTGAACAAGGATGTTATATTCATATAGGTCATGTTACAATATACAATTATTGCCTACAGTGCACCTATATCTAACACAAGCTTCTTCAGATGGCTGATCTGGGAGCCTGTTGTTCTTTCCTGCACACAAAGAACTCGTGAGAGGCCGAAGTTGGGTTCTCCGATTATTCTCCCACGATCAAGTCATTATATGAACTTGAGTGAGAAAATATGATATGATGAAGAAGATTTCAAAGTTGTATAAAAAAGCCAGAGAGTTACCTTGAGCTGCATGACTTTCTTTTATAGTGGATCAAAAGGGCAGATAGGTAACTTGAGCTGAGTCTAGGCAGAAAACTGACTCGACAAACAACTAAAGGTGTCGGCCGTCAGCAAAGATGAGTCATCCAATAATTTATCGTGGGGAAGATAACAATTGTTTGGAGCTGACTAGATCCGATGAGTCATAAAAGTTATAAGGTTAGAGCAATGATGACTTTGTCAGAACGGTTAATGCGATGGTAGTTGGTTGTCAGCGCGGGGTTCAAGGACACACAACCTCTCTGGTTGTCCAACTGAAGGCCGACTAACACCGCCTTTCTAGTCGGCTACGCAAGTTGTCGGCTGGAACAATAGGTCGAGTGCGAGTGCTCAAAGGATCGATCTGGTGCGTAGGCCGATAAACACCTCTTTTTAGTCGGCTACGCAAGTTCTTGGCTTCCGGGAAGATCTGATTAAGCATGGGGTGGACACGCGTCGGCTTCCCAGCGGAGATAAATACTTGGTTAACTTGTAGCTTATAACAGGATACACTATTAATTTATGGACTATGGTCATTGATTTCACACAAATTTTTGGTCTTTTGTGATTTTTGTTGCTGTTCATAAATCTGATGCAATAGGAAGGACTTCATATCATCATACGTTCACGCAGTGCACTAGCCACTAAGTTCATTGTTCATAATTCTCACGCTATTTTTGAGACAAGTCAAATTTGTTTTTAAAAATAACACGTTGATTTATTTGAGCATTTCTACATAATAATCTTGGTAAGCAGGTAGCTGATCGTTTCTGCAAACCGACAAAACCCTACCGCATCGGTCCGAACCGAATCACATTAGTTCGGATCGGTTTTCATTAGAATGTCTGTTATATTTGGTCGTCATTTTTTTTGGGTCGAAGAGAGAAACTTTTGGGGGGTGGGGGGGTGGGTGCAAGAGGAAAATGTGCATGCTGCGAAAAGTTGACAAAATTATGCAGTTTTTTTGCACTTATTGTTTTTCAACTAAACACTTAATTTGCATTTAGAAATATAATTTCTACATTATAATTGCAAATATCCGAAAAACAAAATATAATTTAATTTTCTGCAACAAATGTTAACATTTGTTGCTGCAATTTATTTTTTGGAGCAAACCAAATAATCCGTAAAATTCATGGAATAAATCAACAAACAAACATGTAATTTCAGGATAAATTGACAAATAAGATATATTTTAGTGGCATATAGGCAAACAAACCCTTGCCTTTCACTTTTCAGGGTGACAACAGGTAGTTTAAATATTTTACCTTTTCTTACTTTGAAATAAGATGTTGAGTGAAAAAGGGACAAATCTGCAAATAAAATAAAATAGATTTAAAGATATGCAATTATTTTCTTGGGGTGTTTACTCTCTCTTTCCTTGCTTTTTGAATTGGTAAAGAAAATAACAAAAGAAAATTTCACGTTCCTTATTGACTAATTTACCCCTCCAATGGAAGCATTTTTACCCCGCAACCAGCCGACAACTGTCTTCAGCCCCGGCTAGAACCTTCTGAATTTTTGGCATTGAAGGGCATTTTGGACATTTACAACCAAAAGGATGAGCACTTTCGGTAATATCCAAAATGTCTATATAATCCCTCGCAAACGCTCCCAATCTCCTCTCGCTCTATTTTATTCTTCCCATTTCAAAATTTAATCATTATTATAATAGTTTTTCTTAGGGTTAGGGTTTTCTTTGGGGGCGACTCTCGATTCTCCATTAAAATTTAGGGCAAAACCACTGGTGATCTGAGGGCGTTGTTCGTGATCATCGGGATCGCTTTGATTCGCTTGCGGCTCGATTCTCCGGCATCTTTGGCCGATTAATTTTGGGGTAAAAGATTCGATTTTTATTGCTTTTTTATGATGTGATCTTGATGTATGTATAATATTTTGTGATTTTGTATTTGGTATTGTTGGGTCGGCGTATTGCTATGATTTAATTGACAATATTCTGTAGAACAGTCTGTTGATTTGGGATTTAGGGTTTTCTTTGATCTGTACTACTCATTGTTTTTGCTCGGTTTTTCCGGCATTGTTTGAATTACGTAGGCTATAGAGATAGCAGTGAGAAATAAAAGGTTCAAGTTAGACACTGGAACGAGGTATAAAAGATCTAGGTTTCTTGATTTCTTGTCTTCTGCCTGCTGCGAATCGAATTTGAAGGTGATAGTAATCTACAAAAATTAACCGCATTTGCAGTCAGAGATGAAGGCATCCTAGTGGTAGAAGGATGAAAAAACTGTATATTTAATCAATGCAGTATTGATAGGAATTTCTTACAGTGTCCGCTTATCTATTATGTTGGGTGAACATCTGTTGTTGGCTGTTCTGAGGCCTTAAGAACGTGTCCTGTTTGATATCAAATACTTGGCCCTGGCGACTTTGAGCAAGTTAGGGTCACATATCCTCACACAAGGACTTCGAAGTTCCTACTAGGTAGATTTACTTTCTAGGAGGTTGATGGATAGGTTAGTGTTTGATGATTTATTCCATACTAGTTATTGCATACCATTATGTGAATAATGCAGTGAGGATGAATCTGAAATTTTCTAAAAACTCGCTGCTTATGAGTTATGAGGGTATTTGGGAAGAATTGCATGTCATTCAATCTTGGAAAATAGAGACATGCTTTACGTGCCTCCATAAAGGTTTGTGCAGAACTTGGTTTTAAGCTACCCCTGCAAAATAATCATTACACATCGATTTGGGATGGTTGAAAGAGAAAAATGAAGATGGTGCTGCTTATGCCATTCATTTTCTATTAGCATACTGTTACATAATATATGACACTTAATAGCATTTGATTGTGACTTGTTTCCCTTGAGTGATGGTAGTAAGTCACATTATATATATTCATCCTGTTGTGCATTTACCGTGGATATGACCTTCATGTCATTTCTTAACTGTGGATTTTAATCAGTACGCCTTTAATGGTACTTGAATGTGGCACCTAAAATTGTTTTTTCCCCTCTCTTTGCTTTAGACAAGCTTGTCCGGGTTCAGATTGACACATTACTTGGCATCATATCTCAAGTAAAGAGAGCTATATGGAGGGAGAACTGGCTCCGGAGTTTATCTATGATCAGGGCGTATACTATCCTGCAGCTGGAAACTATTATGAATATGTCTGCACAGGTATGCTGATTAGATCTTGTTCCTTCCTTGAAGTTTTATCACTACATGGAATAGTACAGTAAGAGCATAGTTTTCTTGTTTTATTCTCTGTGTTCCTTCAACAGGAGTGGAACCACCTACTGAATGGGATGGCAACCATAAGTTTTTGACCGTAGATGTTCAAGATCAGCAGTTTCCCGTAAGTTTTTTTTAACATTAATGTTCCTGAGCCAGTGCATTTTGCTGAGGTTAACTGCTATTTGTCATTGCTGCTGCAGGGTTTGCAAAGCGAAAATTTATCATATGTATACTATACGCCTAGCTATGACTATGCACAGTCTCCTTACAACCCTTTCAATCCTTACATTCCTGGCGCTGTCATAGGAACTGATGGTCCATACATAGGATCGCAGCAGTGCTTTACCAACTCTCCATACCCCCAAACTGTTGTTTCACCTGGTTATATGCCGGTTATTAGTCAATCTAGTTCAGATACTCATACTCTCCTGAATGGTTCTCCTGATCCATTGCTTTTCAGCAATGGTGCTGTACAATATGCACCTTCATTATCATCCATGAGCGTGACGACCACACCTTTGAAAGTTTCTTTCGAAAATTTATCGTTGGAGCCTTCCCATTCTTCCCATCAGATTCAGGTATCTGGGAGATCGTCTGAAGGGACAGGAGTAAATGCAGGAGCAAGAAAGAAGTTCTCACCATATGGAGTTATGACAAATGGTGGTTCTCATCAAGTAATTCAGGTATGTAATCAACAGTTGCTTTAGTATTTGAATTGTGCATCAAACTGTACAATATTGGAGTTTGATTGTGTACATATTCATGTTTTTTGAAGTTATTTCCTATTTTTACTTAACAAAAGTATAAAGTTAATTTTTATGAATATAATTTTCTTTTTTTGTAGTATATGTGGAATGCTTCTTTCATTATCAGAATTAGTTTTGATTCTCTGTGTCCTTTTATAATCTTTAATAATCTCAGTGATTCTTTTTGTTGAGAATAATAGACCAGTTACATTTTAATATGAAAAGAATCCGTACAAGTTAAATTCATACAAAACGTATAATGAGTATACAGCTGCATTAGATATTATATTTGAGTTTAGAGTACTGTGTTGCCAGTGTGTTATATCATGCGCATGTGCACAAGCACACAGTAGAGACATGTTCACACATACATGCTGAGTGCGGACTTGTATGCAAAGTAGTGTGTTTTTAAAGAGAGAATCTATAATTATAATGGACACTAAATATTGTTATGGTGTATCTCCTATGTATATAACCAAGTTAGATTTTGTGGTTGAGATTGTGCTGGATTTCCAATGTATCGCTGTGTTGGCATGAACAATTCCATTTTCAGTGTCAAATCAAAAGCTGTAATCAAATCAAAGTTTTTGGTTGGGATTACATATTCTTATCTACGATGGCATTTTATCACCCCCACTCTCCAACATACACATGAAGACATGTAATGCCAACTCCATCCTGCTGTTCTCTCATTTGCGAACATACATGGACACGTACTGCAAACTCTAATCAAGACTATTTGCAGAACTCCCGGACATGTAGTGCAAACTCTAATGAAGTGTCTTAATATTAGATTTGGTGTCATTTTCTGTTGTCCATGCCTCCTTTTAAAAAGAACATGTATTTTACCAATGGGGCACCATAAATTGCCAATTCTTTAAACTTTATTCGTAAGTCGACTTCAAGCATATATCATATTGATATTATACATCCTTTTATAGAAATGTTATGATTTGAATACTATCAATACCTTTTCTTTTGCATATAGGTATAACTGTATAAGAAATTGGTTATAAGTCTACTTTTAAAATTCATTTTGATTTCTCAAGTGTAATTTTGTATTGTGCTGCACTCTATAATTTGCTGACCATGTACCATTTCTCCTTTCAAGTGTATTGAACCATGCTTGGATTTGAATGCTTTGATTAATGTTACAAGTCTTTGTCTGATGCAGGGAACAGAGCACGTATCATTTCCGGGAGTCCCTTCTGTTCGCAGTCCATTGAAGGCCACATTTCCCGCCAACAATGGCTTTACAAGTTCTGGATCTGATGTCCGTGGATGGGCTCCAGTTGATAGGATGAGGCCAAGAATCCAATATAGTGGGGTTCCTAACAGAAGCCTGGGTGAGCAAAATATGGGTCCTAGAACCAACAAGACGAGAACTCAATTGACATTACCAGTAACTCTCAAAGACTACACAACCGAAGCTGGTACTGGTAATTTGGATGGACACACAATTATTCATCCTGATCAATATAACAGGGATGACTTTCCTGTTGATTATCCGCGGGATACCAAGTTCTTTGTCATCAAATCCTACAGTGAGGATGATGTGCATAAGAGCATCAAATATAATGTGTGGTCAAGCACTTCCAGTGGTAACAAAAAACTGGACGCCGCCTATGAAGAGGCCCAGAGGTCATCCGTTGGGAAATCAAGAAAATGTCCAGTTTTTCTTTTCTTTTCTGTAAGTGATGAATTCACCCACTACAAAAGTGTATATAATGCCTCATTTCCACGAAAATCTAATGGCTAATATTTCTCTGCATGTAGGTTAATGCTAGTGGTCATTTCTGTGGTGTTGCTGAGATGGTTGGTCCTGTTGACTTCCACAAGGACATGGACTTTTGGCTGCAAGATAAATGGACTGGGTGCTTTCCTGTCAAGTGGCACATAATAAAGGACGTTCCCAACTCAAGCTTTCGGCACATCATATTGGAGAACAATGAGTTCAGACCTGTGACTAGTAGCAGAGACACCCAAGAGGTAAGTTTGTCTTTTGTGTTGATACTCTTTACTTCATTTTCATACAAAGAACTTTATGTACTACTATCAGTATTATTCCTTTTCCGACACTTGTTGTGTTGCGGAGTCTTTTATGAGCTGCTTGCAAGTTCTATTTGAAAACATAGTTATGCTACCTTTCAACTTTAATCTGTACTTCTGCAGGTCCAATATGATCCAGGGATGAGTATGCTGTATACTTTTAAGAGATTTCCTCTGAATACATGGATTCTCGATGATTTTATGTACTATGAAGAGCGGCAGCGGATTATGCAGGAAGAAAAATCCTTGCTTCTTGGAAGTAAAACCTATGTAAACTCAGTTTCCCCTCCGATCTTCATTCCCTCTATCAAGCCTGGTGAAGCAATTACTCGTTCTGTTGAGGTCCACCCTCCTAATGCTGGCGAGGTCCCGCTTCCTATTGCCAGCGTAAATGAAACAAAGGCTAAATCTGCTCAGCCTCTGGAACCAAATATAAGGAAAATGGTTCCTCGTACAGCTGATGAAGATGATAAGCAGAAGAATGCTGAACTCACACAGCTAAATGGTACGATGGAACAACCATCAAAATCTGATGATGCGCATGTGTCAGCTGGAGGCAATCCTGCAATACAACCAGAACCGAAACAAGTTAAAAATCATAGCACAAAACAATCATCAGAAGCTAAAAGTGATCAAAGCAAGAATCACAGTTTGTTGCCCGAGGGCACGGATAAATTAAGCCCAAATGACACGCATGCTGTTTCGAGGGATTCTGCAAAGCATGCACAAGGTAAAAGAAAAGGCAGGCCCGAGTCTGTAGGATGCTCCGATACTCAGGTTCCTGCCAAAGAGACTGATGTTTTTACTGTGGGTTCCGTAGAGATCGAAATTACCGATACTAGCAGATTGATTTCTGGTACTCTAACTATTGGTTCAATTCCTTGTGATACAAAGGGACCAAAATCTTAGACGGAGTCGCGAAATCATTTCGTATTTTGTTTGCCCAAGAATGATTTTGCCAAGCTCGGTTGCTGGTCCTTTTGCTTCTTTTTTTTTCTTCCTTGCTAGGGGAAAAAGGGTACAGACAACATAGATTTTGTGATGAAGCGCTTTGGGGGAAAGCAGTTTGCCTTTTTTTATTTTGTTTTTTTTTTAAATTTTAATTACAGGTTGCAGTAATTTACTTTAATGAAAGTAAAAGTATTCAAGTAGATGCATGTTTTGCCCTTGTTATTTTTCGAAATGTTGATGAGTCGCCCTGTGGCTTCATTCTCTAATTTTTCATCAATGCAAAATTGCAATTGATGTTGTTGATTGCAACTTTATGGGTGCAGATTTGATGCGAGGACCGTGAGGTACACTAATATATGGAATTATCACATAAATAAATAAGTGTTTATATGATAATTTTTTTTCCTTGTTCTCCCGATAAAATAGAAGGATTATGGATGTGCTCATTATAAATGGAGGGACTTTTTCTTAGTTCGTGCTAAAAGATTAATGAGTGACCTAATCATCATGAATAATTAACTTATTTTTATCGTCTTATTAATTTTTCTTTATTTTTTTAGCTGCTTTGCGGAACATTTGGAGAGGATCTGCATGCATTTACATGTTTTTTTATCACACAAAATCATTTTCAAATCCATTGTTGGGATATGCATGCATTTTCTATGCAAATTTTGTGCTTGGTTGAAAAACACTTGGTTACAATGAGCTTCATGATTTTATCATGTAAGAATTCAGAGGTATATATATGCCTTCTATTCCTGAGAAGAGATGTTTTCCTGATGGGGTAAAATTATTACTTCTAATTTTTTTTTAAGACGACAACTTCTGTTCCGAAATCACTGGCACTTCCTCTCTACAAATTATAAGTTTACTTATTTTTCATAATCGATATCCTCTACAAATTTTATGGTAATCGAAGCAAGTCCAATTATTCCAATTTTATAGCGTCTATGTCAAAGTCAAGGCATAAGTCAAAGATAAACTATGGCTTGCACTATCTAAATGACATGTATGGATGGAGGGTATAGAGAGGAAGGGGAAGAGAAATCTAATTTTAATTTTGTTTGGCAGTTCCATTTAGTAGAGTAGAAGAGGGGAACGAGAAGGAAATTTGAGCCAAAAGCGAGGAGGAAATTTAAGCCAAAATTTTACACCCCAAATTAGGGTGTAATGAAGGGAAAGGGAAGGAAGGTGAACTTTTTCTTTTCGTTCCCTTCCGTAAGTCATCTCCCAGACACACTGAAAAGCTAAGAGTCCCTTGAAAACTGAAATGGTACGGCTTATCTCTTGAAATTGAAATGAATGGTAAAGATTAGAGGCCTTTTCATCGTGTGCTCCGTCCTTTCCAAAATTTTCGGCAAGAAAAGCCCCACTGGATTTAATTCTAGCGCGTTTTCCGTCTAGGCCTGTTTGGTTAGTTTCCTTTATTTTCCAAAACCCATTTTCCTTCACTTTCATCATTTTTCATCCTTACAATCCCACATCAACCAAAATATGGTGACAACTCATCTCATCTCATCTCATTTCTTACTTTTAAAAATAAACTAAACACAAGAAATGTGTCACATCAATCAACTCATCCAACTCACCTCACCCTATTTTTCTTCACTTTCTATCATCTTTAAAAATTACTTACATCATCCAATAATATGGTGACAACTCATCCCATCTCATTAAAATTTTCCTTCCATCCATTTCCTCCAAAAAAAAAAACAAGAAAATTGATTTTCCTAAGTATGAGTCACATCATCCAATAATATAATGACAACTCATATTCTCTCATTTATTTTCTTAGTTTTAAGAATGAACCAAACATAAGAAAAGAACCTAAACAAGGAAAGTGAAGGAAAATATCAAAAATTACTCATCTCATCCAATAATATGGTGACAACTCATTTTCTCCCTCACTTTTTTTTATAGCTTGACAAACCAAACATCTGAAAGTAGAGGAAAATATTAAAATTCACCTATATCAATTTTCTTTCCCCCACTTTCTGTATTTTTTTTTACGAAACAAAAACCTCGAAACCTTCACTACCCAAACTACCCTCCATGACCAACCTCCTCACCATATTTGCTATATCTACTCCTAAACAGTAACTTTGGGAGTTGGATTGCCGAAAATACCCTTTTGGACTTGGGCATGGTTTGGTTTGGGAGAAGGGCAATTTAGTCCTTACGTACCCCCAGAGTTACTGTTTGGGAGTGTGCTCCTCACGCAGCGAACCGTGGGCAAAATCGTCAACCCATTTTTGCCTGCCTCACGGTATCCAAAACCCATCATTTTCTCCGCCTCCTTTTTCTTTTGGTTTTTCTCCTTTTCACCGAGGCCCCAATTCCCAGGTTCTCCGAAATTATGATCCCCAATTTATTATCAAAATCCTTTTTTTCTCTGACCTTTTTGTTTCTTCTCCCAGATTTTAGGGTTTTTCGCCATCCCCCCTCCAATTTCTATGCACTTGAACTTGTCTTATTATGATGTTAGGGTAAAAACAATAAAAATTGAGAATAATGCAGATGGTAAAGAACCGAGGACAGATTGCTGAAGACAAATAGAAAAGAAGAAGAAGAAATATTCAGTTTTTTTTTTTTACAAACTTATTACTTGGAGATTTAGGTTAATTAATAACTTTTTTATTGTTTGAGCTCGTTATGTAATTCCTAGTATGTTTATGTTTATTGTATTTGTAGATCATGATGAATGATGCGGATTATTTAATGGGTTATCACTGAAAATGCAGTAGGAAAAAAAAAGGAAAAAAACCCAATTTTCGGAAAAGAGTAAGGAAAACAAAATTTATAGTTGTGGTGGTTAAGATGTTATGAGAGTTGACAAGACTAGGGTTTTTTGGGGATCAGTTTAGTTGTAGATTTCACGCAATGCCTCCATTTCGTGACATACATCTAAATTTTGATGTACATGTTTGATTGGGTGTTGCTGTTGCTGTTGGAATTATATAATGTTGTAAATGCATTTGTCGTTCCAACTACTTCTGACCAAACTCGCTACTATGCACATTGTATGCTCATCAGCATTTGCTACGTCCAATATATCGAATTTCATTAATAATCTTTCTCTGTAGGGTTATTATTTTCGGGTTGTCTTTAATTTCTTTCACAAATTTGCAGGTTTTCTTGGGAGTTCTGTTTGGAGAGATTTCCACTGTTGAAAATGGAGGTATTTCTGATTACTTGCGTGCTTATTTCACACTCCGATGCTCTAAGGCAGTAATTTTATTGAAACGGTCTTATTTGTTGAAGGTTAACATAGAAGACGATGATTCTTCAGATGTAGAAATTTTGGACCATAACTGGTCTGAAGTTTTGCCTTCAAGGACGAAGTGCTCCCGTGAGGCTATCATAGGGAAGGAGGTAAATATTTACGTATCATGCATGTGTTGAGGTCTCCATTCCAATCATTGATCATTTTCTATCCCGATTATGCCTTAGATATTAAACATCGTCACTGTGTTGCTACATTTCTTGTGTACATGTATTGCAACCTATTCGAGGTCTGGTCCTGAACATATACTGGAAGCATTTGACTGATTTGAGTTAATTTACTCTTACATCTGTTCTTTTTTACTTCAAATTATACTCATGACAGTGTATTTTAGCAGTGGCCTTCACGCACTTAATGCTATGCAAGGTGGTTGAAAATCTTTTTTGTCCTTAATTGCAATGTTAGTAGATTCATAAGGCCACTCCGTATGGTATGAAAAAATCTCAATGGTTATTTTTGTGTATTTGTGCTTCTAATTCATCCTTGCGTCTTGTAGAAAGAAGTTTACAGCTCCCCTGCTCATTTAAAATCACATTTTGTCGAGATGGGATTTTCACCGAGTCGTGTTGACAAAGTTATCTGGGAAAATGGTAGGTTAACACCATTTAAGCTCCCCAAATTTCTTGATATCCAAATTAATTATGTAAAACAACCATTTCATCAAGTAGGTCTCTTCGCTCTGTTAACTACTGTAATATTTTAAATAAAATCTACTTATCCAGGTGAAGGTGATGTTGATGCAATGCTAGAGACTCTTTTCACATACAAGGTAAGTCTTTTTTACTGGGAATGATATTCTCACTGTACCTAATGAAACTTTATTTCCATAAACACTTTTATAAGTTATTAAAACCTAGAAACTATCCTCGACTTGTCGCAAAATGAACAACTACGTAATGTGATTATTGATGCCTGCTTAAATTGTGCCTTGATTATGAAGAAGGCAGATCAAATTTGGTCTTCTCTTCTTATCACATCTACTTGGCGTTAGATTGGGTTATTGTTGCACTAACCCATCAGCCCAATTACTTCAGGGAACCCTTTGCCTAATTCACATTAGGACATTATAAAAGGAGGGTTAGGGACGATGAGGAGGGTGTGACAGAGTACAAGTGAATGAGCAAGATGAAGAGAGTTTTTGGGTTCTTCGTCAGTGGGTTTTCTTGTGGGTTTGGTGAGGGAGATTAGGGACTGATCTCTTGTTGTAATCCACTCTTTTAGTTAGTGGGGATTTTTACTCTAAAGTTCCATTGTGGGGTTCAGACAATATGTATGTACACTTGAACACTGTTGAACAATCATATGTGCATAGGTACATAATATACCTGTCCTCAACACTTGTATATACGATTTGCATTTGGTGGGCACTCACTGTGTGTGTACGTATCTATGTATGTGTATGTTTCACTCTATAATCAAGTTTTGGTCATTTGTTCATTGTTCTCTTTGGGTTTAGTTGTTCCTTAGATTTGAAGGTAAATTCTTTCCCTGCTTCAAGACTTCTAGTCCAGGACAACTTAAGATTAAACTAAACATCAATAAGGCAGGTTCCTTATCTATCAATTGACATTCTAAATTATACGGGGAACCCACTCTTGTATACAGTATCTTCATCTCAGAAATTGGCACTAACTTCTGTGGTTACTGTGATTAGGCAGGCCAACAACAGTCCAAATTTTTTGTCACGTATCCTACTGTGCCTTCTTAATGAACCAGTTTCTGTTGGCAAAGCTTAGATGGTGGTAATTTCTCAAGTAATAATTTTCTTTAAACCAAATCATTCCTAAATTTCTAGGAGCTCCGCTCAGAGACTTCCGGGATGATGCAAAAGAAGAGACGCCTGAAAGACATGGGTTTTACTGAAGATGAGATATCTCATGCTATTGATAATTTCGGTAAGTACTTGACGTGAAAATATTTAATTATATTGTATTTTATTGAAATTGGCAAGTACTATTAGATCTGTAATATTATTTCTGAACATTCTATACTGGCAGTTGATCCAAATGCCCCCATATTACTGTCATGCATTCTCCCTATTCCATTGCACAACTATTCCAAGTCCTACCACACCAAATATGCTTTATAATTATATTGTGTCCTTGTTCTCAGCTTCCTCTCTTCATCTTTTCATATCATCGTTCTCATCTTTACTAGTCCTTAAGGTGGTCTAAAATATGCGTTCGAGCTGTTCACTTTCAAGATTGCAGAACCTGTTCCTTTATTCTCTTCTGATGGAAACAGTTTTATGCATTTGAAATTGGCGATAAACTATAGTACAAGGGGTCTATCAGGAATTAAACCTATTTTATATTTGAGTACTGCTTGCGTTGCTAGATCATTTTATGTGTACACTATTTATCCAGAAGCTCATTTCTTATTAAGCATCTGATACGTTATTCTTTAAGCATATCCTGAGCGCATAAACAGATTTGCCTCAACAGTTGATTAACTTGTCCAGAATTTAGCAAAGCAGCTTTGTATTTTTATATTTATTATTTAAGTTTGTACTCTTTGTGTCACCCTAGATCTTTTTATGTACACAATATATATCCAGAAGCTCTTTTTTTATAATGTTTTTTTTCTTATTTGGTATTCCGTATATAGGCAAGAGCAAAATCTAGGCTTAATATCATAGAACCCCTTTTAACTTTGGATGATTACGAGCTAACCTCCCATAACTTCCAAAATATAGAAAACCCCCGAAAAGTGTGAACCACAATTTTCACTGGAAAAAAACACCCCCTTGCGTAATTACCCGCCTGTGTGAAAAATTGCAGTTAAAGTTGTTAGGGTGGTTTTTTGATAAAATCTTAAAGTTAAAGGGTTTGTTATAACCCCTAAACTTAAGGGGGGTTTCTGATATTTTGAAAGTTACGGGAGGTTATCTGATAATCGTCTAATGTTAAGGGGGATTTTCCGATGTTTAGCCTAAATCTAAAACAAGGACGTTAAATTTCTTGTTAAGTGCCTCACTTCTGCAGTGAATATTTGAAACTAGAAGTCAGAACTTTGCCGTGTCATGTAACTACTGTTCTTCAGGTCCTGAAGTTCCAATAAGTGAGCTTGCGGATGCTATTTTCGCGAACCAGATTGCTAGTGCAGTAGCTACAGAAGAACAAAAGGTTCCCTTATTAGTTGCTTACATGCTTTTGCTCCAGTCAGTTGCGTTTACTTTCCTGGTTTTTCTTATCTTTCTTATATTAAGTGGGATTGCATGTGAATTGGTATCTAGACTTTTGCCAGGCTATTTAACTCAAGTCATTTATGTATTGTTCAACATGCCAGCAATAATTGGCATCTAGATTTTTGCTATGCTATTTGATTCACTTGTCATTTCATATATTCTTTGTCATGCCAGCAATCTAACACTGTGTTTAGTAGCTATCTCACTTTTGAGCAAGCAATTAATTGCAAGTCGTGCCAATAATCACATATAGAGAGATAGCTACTTTGCAACAAATTGCACAAAGTAATCAATATGTAAATCGGTCTGTTTTGTTGAATAAGAGTGGAGAGTTGAATATTTCTTGTGAAGCAGAACCCAAATTTCTAAAACCTTCGAAAAAGGGTTTACGAGAGTTTCTATGATCTGATGTTAGTTCCATTTGTGGAACCTAAGCTCCTGATTGAACTATAAAAGATAGATATGGCCTTGTTTTAAACCTTGAAACCTAGTCATATGCTATATACCACAAGCACATATTACATGAATCTGTGTCCGGTCATGATGTGTCTCCTACGTGATATTCCTTGAGGCTCCTTATCTGGGACATTTCTCAATGGTTTTCTCAACTTTTGGTTCCATAAAGTTTTAGTTAGTTGGCAACCATCGTTGCGCGATTCCCCGGACACCCCCTCAAACCATTGTACAATTTCTGCGAACCGATTCCTGGTACATTTGCGAACCGGTTCCCTCTGATACACGAACTGGTTCCTCAAAATTGACGTACCACTTACAAGTATGCTAGATGCAAAGTTTCTTTAAGTGCATGTGCGCAAGACGCAATGTAATGTGTAAAATTAAGTAAAGGGAGACACACAATAGAGTATAAGAGCCGAGGACTTTATTGTAACTAAATACGTATGTTAATCAAATGTAAAACGAACCATGATCCTAAAATGAGCTCTGTGAAAAAAAAGAACAAAGAAACAAACTCCATCAAAAAGGAGTATTTAAGTATTTTGTATGAAAAAATATTAAAACTCATAATTAGCTTTCTAGTTTTTAACTATATACTTTGAAAAACATTAAGCAAACCTGAAATTTTTTTACCACGTATCACTAACCGAACTTGCATACTGAAGCAAGCTATCCCCTAACGGATCCAAATTTTATAAGTGGCGAAATGTGTACCTGAATTCGTACTGTGACCCGCTACTGTGTTACTAAGTTGGCAACTATAGGTCATCTTCTGTCTCTCTTTGATTATATTATTGCTCTTCATATGCACTTTATGGTTATTCTTTTATTTTTCGGATCAAAGAAAATAACTTTTATGGACACCGATATCATAAAAATCTGAAGAACTAGAATATAGTGTAGTACAATACTGTAAGACAAATGACTATGCCACTCAGAATATAGTGTAAGATTGAATGACTATACCACTCACAAAATATCCTATAAAAATCTAACTATGATCATAACCTAAGCATTTTTTTTAATCACTCTACCAAACTTCACTTCTGTTGTAAAAGAGGTTTCAAGAAATATTGATTCAGATTTATCTGTTTGAATTCATAGAGCTATTCCTGGCTTATCTTAACTGCGGCCTTGCTATATTATCATTTCGTAATCTGTATTTTTCATTTATCTGTAGGAAAACACAAATGCAGCAGCCAGTCGACATAATTCAGAAGAACAAGATAGAGGTTTAAATGCAGTAACTTATGATGGATATCCCAAAGGATCAGTTTCAGGCTCTGAAACATATGGTTCCAAGTATATCAGAAAGAAAAGGCCTAAACACTTGGAAGTAAATAACAGAACAACTTCCAACATTAATCGGATACATGGAGACAATACTCCAAGGCACTTGCCTGAAGGAAATTTGATTAGAGTAGAAATGTGTGACCTAGGTATCTCCAAATTTGGCAAAAATGTTCCCATTCTATCGCAACCTCTTTATTTATTCTACGGAAATTCTCTCAATATCGCCGAGGAGACATGGAAGAGACTATCCCAATCTTTATATGGAATCAAGCCAGAATTCGTGGAGACTAAATTCTTTTCAGCAATCATAAAAAATGAAGGCTACATCTGTGAACTTCCTATAGGGAGAAGAGTGCATGTCCACCCTAAGCCACCTATGACTCTGGGAGAAGCATTGCCACATACTAAAAAGTGGTGGCCTGCGTGGGATATAAGAACGAAGTTAAGTTGCATTCATTCACAGTTTACGGAAGCCTCATTACAGTGTCAAAGGCTAGGAAAAATGATGGCAAGTTCACAGGGAATGTTAGCTAAAGAGGATAAACTGGAGATTCTCCAGCGGTGCCGGACCATGAATTTAATATGGACGGGTCGGCATAAATTAAGTCCAATTACACCTGAGGAGATGGAGTATATATTGGGCTACCCAATGAAGCATACTGAAGTTTGGGGTTTGTCCTTAGATGATAGATTGGGATTGCTTTCTAATTGCTTACAAGTAGACACACTAGCATATCATCTCTCAGTTTTAAAAGATTTATATCCGGAGGGAATAAAAGTCTTATCAGTTTTTACAGGAATTGGAGGGGCTGAAGTAGCACTGCACAAACTCGGTATTCAATTTAAGTATTTAATTTCAGTGGAACCAGTTGATAGCAATAGGGAGATCTTATTGAGTTGGTGGAAAAATTCCAGGCAGGTGGGGAAGTTGATTGAGATTAAAACCATTGAAGAGATGTCAATTAAGAAGCTTGAAAGAATTATAGAAGAAATTGGTGGGTTTGACATTGTAATTGGATCAAATCCAATTCCAAATGTGTCAAAAAATGCTAATCGTGATGCTTCTCCAGGAGTAAGCTTCACTTTGTTCAACGAATTTGTACGCGTGTACAAACAAGTGAAAAGTATAATGTCAAAAAATCGATAGTAGACAGTTTTTCCTCTACTGTATGTTGTTTGGCTATTATTTCTTTATTCGGATTTTGTCAAGAAAAAGTGAACGTAATGAACAGAAGGAAAGTTTCAACATTTGGCATTAGTTTGTTCATTTGTTGATTATTTGGTTACATTCTTCTCTTTAGATTTATCTGTCACATTGCAGTTTAAACTCCATGAGAACTGTATAACTGCAGAGTGTAATTTCACAGACCATCAAGAATATTTAATAAGATTTTGTTGTTCTGTTTTAAGGTCCTATATATGTCTTTCCGATCGGATTGATGTGCTTGATCACAAATATTTTGAAGGTTCCCTGTTGGAGAATTCAATAGATGGAATATGCAGCCCATTACGTGAGTTTTTACCAATTTTGTTTGATTCCAGTTGTCAGCTATCTTATATTGCTATATCTTCATGCATGAGTGTTTTTTTTTAATGGAGAGTTTCATTCTGTAACAGTGTAATTTCTTCTAATAAGAAAACTTGCATCTGTAGACCTGATAATTGTATCTTTAAGGTCAGATAGGCTAATGAATAATTGTTAAATGATCTCAGTTGATTAATACAATGCATGTGAAGCCTTTCTGGTCCACACTAGGGAAGGCCTTAAATTAGGTCCATATCCTTGTGCTAGGCTTTTCAGCTCCTTAGCTGATTCATTGCCTAATGAGAAAACATTAGTTTAGTATGGTGGAGGCAATAGTTTAAATTACCTTGTGTTTGGAATGCTTTGAGCAAAGCCGAAAGGAGTTTGTATTATTATACGAGTATTCCTTACCTTAATTGGAATCCTTACCTATAATGTCCATTATTGATATCTTGCACTTTTAGTTGATTATTCTTTTGAATTCAAGATTAAAAGTAGATTGACCATGACATTCAATGCTAATAGTTAACACTATGAGTGCATGTAGCACCTGACCTGATAACCCCATCATCTGACCATTTATTGGGTTTGGATATCAAAATTGAATCCAGATCGGATTTTGATATGATCCTTCCTGAATTTAAAACTGAGAATACACTTGAAAATAGTTTATAAATGATAACATAGACAATATATATTTAGTTATTTATCTTTAAATAATGATAAAAGGATATTGATATGAGTTTAAATACGAATTTAGCAGTTTTCACGTAATGAATTTGATTAACCACATTATTGAGCTTGAACAGGTAACTTGCACAACTATATTTAAAATTTGAATTCGATGCAAGCCAAAAAAAGAAAAGAGAATTTGACCTGAATTGATGTCCAAATGCAATTTTCTTCACGGGTTTGGATTCAGCTTTTACACAAATTTGGTCCAAATCAGACCCATTTATGCCATTAGATGTAGCATTTGCGATGTATATTTGTTTAACAAAGAAATTATTGGAATTATATTCTCTCAAAGTACTTCTTTCCAGCCTGAGTCTTGGTTGAAGGATTTGTTAATTAATTAAGAGTCCTTAACAACCTCCTACTTTTAGTTGATTGTTGTATTATTTTTTGGTTGTTTACATAAATCACAAACATACTATGAATATAATTAGAGTATCTAACTTCGAATTTCTGCTAAGCTGGATATTATAATGGATAAAAGATTCAATCATTCGACAAGAAAGGACTAAAATAAGTAAAGCATGACCTGGTTACTGTTAAGTTAATGAGTTTGATTCTGTTGTCCAGTTCATTAAGAATTTACAATGATAATCACTTTGTTTCATACTGAAAAAGATTCTTTTTAGATACAAATCTATACTCATGATTCATCATAGAAAAGAGTCCATTATTAATAAATTTCCTCCACAACATCCTACTTTTTGTTAATGTAGTTCAATTATGCATAAGATTATTGACAGCAAGGAGTTCCAAAAGGAGTAGACAGAATTCGTTGGGTCACATCAAATGCATGCATTATTTTGTACCGGTCCATGTCTCATGGTTGATGTGTGACTGATTTCTGTATGTTGATGTCTTTCTTGTTATTCATATTCTTGCAGGGAACGGAACCTTGATGAATCATATCATGAAGCACGAAATATTCCACTGACTTTGTGAACTGCAGCATGTAAGTCAACCAAATCTGTCATAATTTTATTCAAGTACAGGAATTGAATTATGTTTCATGCATGAACATCATTGTGACATCTTGACCTGCTCAAACATAGAAGCGTGAGAATAAATGCTATGATCGAAATCTTAGATATTTTAGTGCATGATGATTACCCCACATACCCCATGTAATGCAGATGTCAAAGTTAATGGTTGTGGGTATATTCATAATTGAACCGTTGGAGTAAACAAGCAGGAACGCAAGTATATTCTACAATTAATACAACTCCAATATTCTAATAGGGGACACTTTAAGGGGCAGGGTTTGAAAAATACGCATTATTGATTTGTATCCTCAAGAGCAGGGAGAGGAAGCTTCTCCTGCTCTTCTGTCCGAAAGAATGGTAAAAAAGATAATATAAGAGAATATTTTATGGTCAGAAATCTTTGAATGTAAAGAGTACAAAATACCATTAATATAGTATTTGTGAGTTAAATAATGCAGGTGCATGTGCAAGCTGAAAATTTCTACGTGTTTAGAGTTTGTTTGTCCGTTGGTGAGTTAAATATCTTTACACTGAAGAGGTTCCCGATCCTTCTTTGTTGAAGATGATGAATTATATTACTGAAGACAATATGCCCAAATTAGAAGGATATGATTAGTGTATGCTTCTTCAAAGCAGGTGACATAAACAAGTTACTATATAAGTCAATACTTTGCACAAAGACCATAAAAAAAGGAGCAAATATGTCTACAAACATTGCACTTGAGCCCACAGCCACATCATCACCATAACCATAATTTCTTTTATAGATTATCACCAGCCTCCCCCGACTGGTCATCGTTTAAACAAGATAAGCTTAGAGAATGCACAAGCTAGAAACTAACCCATTTAAATTTCAGCCCCACCATGACTACATCCATCCTCTAAAACGATGTAAGAGTCTTTTCGACTACTATGTCACTCTTGGATGTCGGCTATTTGGCTGTCCTATTTTTATATTTTTCTTTGTGATAATATTATCAATGAGTATGTCTGCCTATAGTTTGATTGGAGATGAACACTATCTTTAGTTATCAGACAAGACTATCTATTTTCTGAGGGAATTTTTCTATGCACACTGGGATCCTGGATCAGCTCCTCAATGAAAAGAAAAGAAAAGTGTTATTGCCGCATGTATAAATTTCTATTATGTTTCTCATACCAATGTCGTGCTTTTTGACTTCAGAGGTGCAACAGAACGACGCAAGCAAGATGGCCTAGTATCTCCGTTTCTGCTGAGAATATGTCATCTTTGTATTGAGAGAAGTTGGAAGCATGGGTGGATGAGATCATGAAGACAAAAAAAACTTGGGATATTCTCAAGATATATGTACTAACCAAAACATTATCACTACCAAAACTGTCCCTTGCACTAGGATATTCTCCATTTTTCTGTTTCTTTTAGAGAATGGAAGTCTCATCTGTATGAGATCATTTGAATTTTCTTTTGATGTGGCATGAATTCATTGTCTTGTCGTGGGATATATTTGGTATCTTTCAAATTATCTCGTTTATATTTCGTTCGACACGTGCATTGTAATTGGATTTCTTCTTGACTCGTGTTCTACATGTAACCTTTATTTCATATGACAGATACCTGAGCTTCAATTTTGTTGGATTCATTTGAGGAGGACCCGGGAATGATTTATTCAGTTCATATAAGCGTTTCAAGTATTACTGTATGTTCTGCTATCAACTTTTCAACCATTGGATTGTTGCTTGGAGATTCGTGCTAAAAAAATTGTTACTCTCGCTTTCTAGGAGATTGCGTGCATGGTTTTAGGAGAATATGTGCGTGCGCGCGTGCGTGCGCGTGCATGCCATATGAAGGAAGCATTGCCTTAATAGAAGTTCAGGTTTCAGCTCATAAAATGCTCTCTCAATTTGTTAAGATGTAAAATTACAACTCTAGTTTCTCATTGAATTCTAATTATTTTGTGCAATGACGGTCTACGGGTTTGGAAAAGAGTTGGTTCTCAAAAAGCAAGCACCACGTGATTAATCAAAAAGGATTTTTCTTTTTGAGTGCTGAAACAAAAATGGAGAGTAACCGTTCCCATTATTTATTCACAAAAACTCCATGATTCTTCTGTCCGTTTCTCCCTGCCTTCGTTTACAAGGAAGAAAAAGTGGGCTCTTTTGCAGTTTTCAAGCAGGCAAAAAGATATATGGGGAAAATGTGTAAATGCCCCAAAATAAACAAGCTGATGGGGCTCAACCCCATCAACTTTTTTCCTTACTCTTTAGCCCCAAAAGATAATAAAAAGTGTGGTCTAGCCCAAAAAGCCCACTTTTATACATGTACCCTCTGTATTTTGAGCAGCCTATTGAAAATGCCTTCTTTTTCCACCTAGGAAACTGCCCCCTTCACTCATCAACCCGGTGATCTCTGTCATCGCAATTAATGCGATTCGACAGCGAAAACGGGGTGGGGGGGGGGGGGGCACGGCGTTCCCTCCATTACAGGTGGATCTCATCACCGAGTACATATTCTATAGTTTTATCTCTCACTCTCTCATTTATGAAATTAGAGTTTTTATTCTTCAACTTTCAACAACCCCTTATACGCTAAAAATTCCCTCAATTACTTCTCATAACTGTCCTCATAACTTTCAACAACCCCCAATGGCCGCCAAAGACTTGTTTTGCATAGTATCCTTAGGCGAAAAGGCTATATTCTTGATGCTAAGTTCTACAACAAGCTTTTTTGAACTGAAATTTGATGTATCTGAAAGACTGAAAGTACCTTAAAATGCTTTATCATTGATATATAACTCCGAGAGGTACCCGAAACTGAGTTTTCCAGTTGATAATGAAGATGATTTGAAGTGCGTGTTAGAGCACAATCGAAATACTGGTTGTATGGAGATTCACATGCAAGCTGTTGTTAATATAGAGAGTTCTACTTCTAAAAAAATCAAAAAGTTCTTACTGAAACGTAAGTAATTAATGAACTCTTTTTAAAACTGGGCTTTGTGTATGTAAACTTTGTGATTTTAGGTTTCGATGCACATTCGAAAAACATAGTTGTCATCTGAAAGGGTTAGATGTTAACTCTTCCTGTAAAATGTTAAGTTTTTTATTCTTCAACATTCAAAAACCACTTATGCGCTAAAAATTCCCTCAATTATACAATAATAACTATCCTCATAACTTTTAACAACCCCCAATGGC